TTTCTTGGAAGTTAGGCAACCATAAAAATTTTGAATTCCAGATCCACTTCCATCCAAGCGTGCCGCCAGGCCATTGGCAAAGTAATGGGCCAACTTCTGAGATCCATCACCAGAAGGGGAAGAGTGCTCCCTAATCTGCTTTAGTAGCTCACCAGCAGTCCTGTTATCAAAAGATGAGATAGCTTGTGCACAGAGAATGAGGAGAGTCCTCAAGTCAATTGTTTCCTTCTTCTTGCCCTGTCTTTTAGAACGGGATTTCCCTCCATTAGATTCACTGGGCTGTTCATTTTTCTCCAAGGTTCTGCTTTCTTCATGCTTAACATCTTCATTGCCCACAGGCTTACAAGTATAGAGCAATACCTTATCAAACATCTCAGATAGTTCACCTTCTTCAACATAAACTGCAGACTGCTTAGTACTTCTCTCTTCCTCTAAATCTCTGTTTTCTCGTTCATGATTCTTCCTACCTTTTGACCTATCAGGTGATTGCTGTCTCTCCCTCTTATCCTCCTTGACTATCACATTTGAAACCCCCTCCTTTTGATTGGTAGCAAATGTACTACTCTCTAGATTAATGATAAGCTGGTTACTAGTAGGAAGGAACTTACTAGCTTCCTCAAACCCTCTCTTGAACTGCAAGACAGATTCCGTGTCACTGAAAATATTTTGAACCATGAACTCAGTGGCAGAGGGTTCCATCAGACTATTGCCCATGTTACCCAGGGTATCATTTGATTCAGCGGAAAACTCTGAACTCAGATGGTTTGAATTAGACTGGAAGTTGTGGTCACTGGGGAGGGGAACTTGTAATAGAGCAGGGTTCTGAAATCCAACATCTTCACCCCACAGATTGTCAGTCCCAGTACTAGTTTCAGGGCTACTGCTAGGATGGTTATTGGTAGCACAACCATAACTACTACCAGATACATCAGTGTTTGGACTCTCCATATTCTGGTTTAGAACAAGTTGGGGTTCATTAATAGGAGGAGGAGGAGGTGGAGGATACTGCTCTCCCAGTGCTTCATATAATGTTTGTTCAGTGTATCGTAGAGCCAATGGGTCTTCCCATGGCTCATTCTCCACGTTCTCTTCCATAAGAATCTGGCTTATGAACTTGAGAACAGGATCTGAGGATTCAGTATCACTGGCGGGAGAGGAAGAATCTCCCCCGGGGCTCCAGCCCGTGGTCGGAGTGAAAGAGACCTCATCAGCGCCTCTAACAGAAACAGACGAAGGAAAACTAGCAGCAGGTTCTGAATTAGAGGGAAGAAATGGGACATCCATGAAACCAAGATCTGGAGAGGGAACATGGAAGTCAAACCCATTTGTGAGACTAGGGTTCTGGTCAGGATTGGTCAAGATTGTATCTTGTCCATCTTGGATACCATTTATATAATAATCAGAAAATTCAGGGGACTTGGGATCCATGATCTTCTCACAAACAAAGTCTTGAAACAAAGGTAAACCCCAGAAAACCCTATCTCTAAATCGATCAATTTCAGAAGGAGAACATAAAAATTGAGACAAAAAACGAGAATCTACAAGCCCAACAGGTTGAAAGATGATGACATACAGATAAGCCCAAATGAAAGAAATAAGCTTTACTGATCTCTAGCTAACAAAATGAGCGCAAAACAGAAGATCAAGAACCCTAAAATGTTTACAAGGGCTGAAGCAAAATCGTACCTTGAAGAGACCCAGAAAGAGAATATGGAAGAAGAGAAAAAGGGTAGGGAGAGTTTTCAGGGAAGAAGGTCGAGAAGGGAAATAACCAATCTCCTCCGATATACGAACAGTAGGAGGAGAAAAGATAAGAACTTGCGGAAGAGACTAGAAGTGGAATCTGAAACAGATCTTGCCAGCGGAGAGAAAGATGGAGTGGTGGCCTATCCACCTGCTACAACCGGTCAATCATGATTGCTCAGGGTGGAGTAATTGTCACAGGTTTTTTTTTGTCTTTAGTTGTCAATGCCTCTATTTATGTTAGTGCTATACTTTTTCCTTTTTAAAAAATAAAAAATAGAATGCCCTTTGGGCTAAGTGGTCACTGACCACCTGATGCATTCCTCCATTCCTGAACAGGGTTCAACCCGCCCCATATAATATTGTTAAAAAAAATAAAAATAAGAAAAAAATAAAAATAGAAACAAGTTCTATACCTTTTATTTTTGGTTAAATGTTAATTTTGTTTCTTAATTTTAAGGTTTTATATGATTTTAATTTTTTAATTTTTTTAATATAATTTTTTATCTCTCAACTATAAAAAATATATTTTTTTAGTTTTTCCATTAGTTAGTT